TTATACATGTTTTTAAAATTTCATTAAAAACTGTTTAAATATATCTATTTGTTCATCATGTTGTTTTTGTTGAATTTCACATGAATGTGCATATTGATCTTTTATTGTTTCAATTATGATCTTTGTTTGGTCTTTAATAATATTTCAAATATTTTCAATATAACCTTTTTTATAATCAATATGATTACTTTTTTTTTCTTAAAATTAGACTATATTTTAAAATAAATATAAATTAATAATTATAAATAAAATGTATAAATAAATAAATAAATAAAATAGTTATCTCATTATTTTTATAATAATTTGAATCATCATTTGTCTTTTCTTTATGTTTGATTCTATTAATTGAATCACTTATAACCAAAGTTGTAATACTTGGATCATCTTTTAAACATTCATCCATGTTTTTAAAAAATTCCCATTCATTTTAAACTGCCTCTTCACCAGTATTTTTAATAGTATTCTTTATATTTCAGTATTTTTGATGTAAAGAATCCTATTTTTGTTGAAATGATATCTTAGATTGTTCTTTTAAAATTAAACTTGAAGTTGAATCTTGAATGTTTGAAATAATTTTATCCCAAATATGTTCCTTCTCCCTTGGGTCTCTTATCTGTTGCAATGCATATTGATTTTTACTGACTTCCTCAATAAGAATTCTAGTTTCAAATGATGTCCAACAATAATTTGTTTTATTATTTGAGGCAACTTTAGAAAAATTTGCTAATGACTCATTTGTAGCTTGAGAAATAAGCAAATATTCTTGATTATGATTAGAATTATTAACAGAAGGTTCTAATAAAGATATCTAAAAAAAAAAATTTAATTTTAAATTTTTTTTTTTTTTATTTAATAAATATGATTTGTTTTTATATTTCATCATATTCTGTAGTTTTGTTTAATATTATAGGATTAAAGAATGGTGTGATAGAATACTGTTGTATATCAGAATATTGCTATGCAGTAAAATACTGCTAAGCAGTAGATAATTGTTGCAACATCATATGTAAATTAGTAAAGTTTGTAAAAGGCATAGCAGGAACATTAAGAATATTTTGAGTAACAGAAGCATTTGTAGTAATTGCAATTAAGGTCATTGGTGATGATGATATTTTTTTCATTACTCTTTTTTTTTATTATAATTTGGTAAAGACATAATGGCACAAATCAATTGTAAATAAAACAAATTAATTGTAAATAAAACAAATCAATTATAAATCAAATAAATTTGCTTAATTATTGATTACAATGTGTATATCGATTGATTGTAATAATTGTGCATCATTTTAATCACTATTTAATTATATTGAGTAAGATGCTTGAGAGCACCCTTAGTCTATTCTTACAATCTATTTTTTTCAAGTTATTTATTTTATAATCCACTTGAACAGATTCTAGTCCATTTGATCTAGGCAGATATCATATATAGGTTTCCTGTTATAATTCTTAACAGTTTAATTATAAAGTCATTTTGTTTTTAAATGAAGCCAATATATAAACTAATAAATTTCTGACTATAAGACTCAGTTTAAAAGTTTAAAATGCATTTAAATCAACTTCTTAACCTATCATACAAAATGACTTTCAGTTCTAATAACAGTATTTATTCTATTACTCATGTTTAAAGATGTGTTTCATGTGTGCTTATGATTCCATTTCATGTACATTTTATTCCATTAAGGTTTCTTTCTTTTTGATCATTTTTTCTTTTTTTTATCATATGATATCATGCACATGAAATATTTCATCTGCATTAATGTGCATTTATGTGCATGTCATTATAAAATGTGCATTTTTTTCATCACTAAACTTGTCTAAATTAATTTTGTCTAAGGGTGTTCTCAAGCCTCAACCTCAATGTGATTAGCTAGTGATCGTAATAGTTCACAATGGTAATTATATTGTAGCACATGAAAGTGGTTATGTTATTGATGCAGATTACTATCTAAAATAGTAATTAATCTATCGCTATTCCTAACCTTAACTAAATAAGATCTGCATCAACAATGTAACTACCTCTGTCATAGGTTTCACCCTTTCATATTATGTTTACATAGAATTTTGGATAACAAATTGAATAAGCAAATTATGAAGTAATCAAAGCTTGCTCAAATGTTATTCTCTATGCACTTAGCTAATAATATGACAATGCTTATTTACTACAATCAATCAAAATAAGAATCCTAATTGATACTTGAGCAATCCATTAATATTTTATCAAATGTTATTATCATTACATTTAGGGTGCTCTCAAGCATCTTACTTGATGTGATTAAATAGTGATTGAAATAATGCACAATTATTACAATCAATTGATATACACATTGCGATCAATAATTGAGCAAATTTATTTGATTTATAATTGATTCATTTTATTTACAATTGTTTTGTTTTATTTACAATTGATTTATGCCATCATGTCTTTACCAAATTATAATAAAAAAAAAAGAGTAATGAAAAAAATGTCACCATCACCAATGACCTTAATTGCAACTACTACTTCTTCAACTGTTCCAAATGTTTCTGCAACATCTTTAACTACCACAAATGCTTCTGTTACTCAAAATGTTCCTAATGTTCCTGCTATGCCTTTTACAGACTTTACTAATTTATATATGATGTTGCAACAATTATCTACTGCTTAGCAGTATTCTACTGCATAGCAATATTCTGATACACAACAGTATTCTATCACACCATTCTTTAATCCTATAACATTAAACAAAACTACAGAATATGATAAAGTATAAAAACAAATCATCTTTATTAAATAAAAAAAAAAATTAAAATTAATTTTTTTTTTTTAGATATCTTTATTAGAACCTTCCATTAATAATTCTAATTATGATCAAAAAAATTTGCTTATTTCTTAAGCTACAAATGAGTTATCAGCAAATTTTTCTAAAGTTGTCTCAAATAATAAAACAAATCATCATTGAACATTATCTGAAACTAGAATTCTTATTGAGAAAGTTAGTAAAAATCAATATGCATTGCAATAGATAAGAGATTCAAGAAAGAAGAGACATATTTAGGATAAAATTATTTCAAATATTCAAAATTCAACTTCAAGTTTAATTTTAAAAGAATAATCTAAGACATCATTTCAACAAAAATAAGATTCTTTACATTAAAAATACTGAAATATAAAGGATACTATTAAAAATACTGATGAAAAGGCAGTTCAGAATAAATGAAAATTTTTTAAAAACATAAATGAATGTTTAAAAGATGATCCAAGTATTACAGCTCTGATTACAAGTGATTTAATTAATAGAATCAAATATAAAAAAAAGACAAATGATAATTCAAATGATTATGAAGATAATGAGGTAACTATATTTTTTATTTATTTATTTATACATTTTATTTATAATTATTAATTTATATTTATTTTAAAATATAGTCTAATCTTAAGAAAAGAAAAGGTAATCATTTTGATTATGAAAAAGGTAATATTAAAGATATTTGAAATATTATTAAAGACTAAACAGAGATCATAATTGAAATAATAAAAGATCAATATGCATATTCATGCAAAATTCAACAAAAACAACATGATGAACAAATAGATATATTTAAACAGTTTTTAATGAAATTTTAAAAACATGTATAA